ACCTATAATCCCAGCACTTTGGGAGGCCGAGGCAGAAGGATCGTTTGAGGCCAGGAGTTCAAGATCAGCCTGGGTAACACGTCAAGACTTGTCTCGCCAGGCACGGTGGCTCATGCCTATAATCCCAGCACTTTGGGAAGCCAAGGCAGGCAGATCACCTGAGGTCAGGAGTTCAAGAACAGCCTGGACAACACAGTGAAACCTCGTCTCTACTAAAAATACAAAAATTAGCCCAGAGTAGTGGTGGGTGCCTGTAATCCCAGATACTCAGGAGGCTGAGGCAGGACAACTGACTGAACCCAAGAGGCAGAGGTTGCAGTGAGCCGAGATTGCGCCACTGCACTCCAGCATGAGCAACAGAGTGAGACTCCATCTTATTAAAAAAAAAAAAAAAAAAAAAAAAAACTTGTCCCTACAAAAAAAAAAAATTTTAATTAGCCAGGCACGGTAGCATGCACTAGTAGCCCTAGCTACTCAGGAGGCTGAGGCAGGCGGATCGCTTAAGCCCAGGAGTTCAAAGTTGTAGTGAGCTATTATTGAGTCGCCACACTCCAACCTGGGCAATAGAATGAGAACCTGTCTTTTCTTTTAAAAAAAAAGGCAGTCATAATACCTTACAGTTGCCCCAGAAATGACTATGAAACTACACAGTAACAAAATTGGAAATGTGAAATATCATACGAGATCTGTGTAAAAGCAGTAAAATGATGCCGAAAAGTAATGAAACACAACTGAAATTGTCTAATTTAAACATTTAAACTTATACTTATATTTGCTTACAGAGTGCCCCTGAAGGCACAGTATTTAATATGGTTAATTATATCCATTCATCTTTTTATACTTAGTTCACCTTGGTTTGAATAAACTGGGATTTTCCAAAATAAGAATTTTCCATACTGTTTGCTGTTTGTGAAATTTTTCTTGTAAAAGATGGGCTAGGCCAGGCGCAGTGGCTCACGCCTGTAATCTCAGCACTTTGGGAGGCTGAGGCAGGCAGATCACAAGGTCAGGAGTTCGAGACCAGCCTGGCCAACATGGCAAAACCCTGCCTACTAAAAATACAAAAATTAGCCAGCATGGTACCAGGCACCTGTAATCCCAGTCACTTGAGAGGCTGAGGCAGGAAGATCGCTTGAACCTGGGAGATGGAGGTTGAAGTGAGCCAAGATTGCGCCATTGCACTCCGGTCTGGGTGAGAAGAGCAAGACTCTGTCTCAAAAAAAAAAAAGATGGGTTAGGGGCCAGGTGTGGTGGCTCATGCCTGTAATCCCAGCACTTTGGGAGGCCGAGGTGGGCAGATTACTTGAGGTCAGGAGTTCAAGACTAGCCTGGCCAACATAGTGAATGAAACACCGTCTCTACTAAAAATACAAAAATTCACCAGGTGTGGTGGCAGGCACCTATAATCCCAGCTATTCAGGGGGCTGAGGCTGGAGAAGCCCTTACACTCGGGAGATAGAGGTTGCAGTCAGCTGAGATGACAGAGAAAGACTCCATCTCAAAAAAAAAAAAAAAAAGAGATGGGTTGGGGGTAAGAGAAGGAGTAATCTCAGTTTAGCTTATCACATTCTGTTCTAATCATTTTGACTACAGTTTACCAGAGACTTCAAAATTTGATTACTGTTCCCCTATCAAAGATAAAACTCTAGCATAGAAGTAATTCATGCCAAAGATGTCAGTAACTGGCATTCTTTAAAAAAATCTCAATCTGACCCTCAACAGCTTGTGACACTGGATATCTAGCTTCTGTGTGTACCAGTTTCTCATCTGTAATAAACTATATACTTACTTCACGGGTGTAGTGAAGAATACATGAGATTATGTGCTTGAAACATGATAGGGACTCAATAAATATTTGTTGAGTGAATGAATAAATAAACCAATGTATGAAAAATGCTTAGGATAGTGTCTGTCACATAGCCAATGGCTAACAATATCAATACCATGCCAGGCGTGGTGGCTCATGCCTGTAATCCCAACACTTTGGGAGGCTGAGGAGGGAGGATTACTTGAGGTCAGGAGTTCGAGACCAGTCTGGCTAACATGATGAAACCCTGTCTCTACTAAAAATACAAAAATTAGCCAGGCACGCTGGCATGCGCCTGTAGTTCCAGCTACTCGGGAGGCTGAGGCAGAAGAATCGCTTGAACCCAAGAGGTGGAGGTTGCAGTGAGCCAAGATCACGCCACTGCACTCCAGCATGGGCGTTAAGAGTGAAATTCCGTCTCAAAAAACAAAAACAAACCAATTATTACATTACCCTATAACCTTCTGACACAGTTTCATCAGAAAAGCCAAAATAATCACTGATTTAAAATACACAGTAGGTACCTCCTAAAAAATAATTTACATTTACCACTTAATTTGAAATATGTACTGAGTTAAATCAATTCAGTTGCTACTAATTAAATGTGCATTTCTGCTTTTAACACAAGAGGAAGAATAACTACTGAGACAGCTAACCCACAGATCAGACAAAGCAGCTTTAAGCAGATTTAATTGGCTCAAGATTTTCACTGTTGACATCAAAATAAAATGTTAGTCAACAGAAAATTCAAATAAAGTACTACCTAGTGTCTTGTTTCTGTTAGTAACTCCAATCTGAGAACATTAAACAAGCACTGATGAAGCACTTTTAAGGAATTCTGCATAGTTAATTCTACGCCAGTGGCAAGTTCCAAAGGAGTATCTGCTTTGTGGCATTAGGACTGGACTCCTGTACTTTCACACCCTAATATTCTCTATATCGCCTGAAGCAGTTGGTGCACTCCCGGCCTTTAGATTAGAGAAAACACTAAGCAGGATTCTAATAAAAAGAATCCATGTTAATAAGCTTAAGAAATTAAAATTGCTACCTATACATAAATATCATTGGTCATCAAAAACTCTACTAAGGACCTACTATGTGCCAGTGAAAACAACTGAGGAGGGCATTAGCTAAAACAAATAGCTTCTAACTGAGAAGCTTCCAGTCAAATTAGGTAATTAAGATATTAATAGAAACTGGTCAAGTTAACAAAAAACATGAGGGGTACTGGCATTACAAGCTACAAGACTTTTGAGAAAATAAGAAACCTTTGATACAACTAGGTAAAATAAGATATGTGATAGTGTGATTTTCCATGAACATGAGGTGGTATTGGCAATAAATGCTATAAAATTTTAGAGAAGAGAGATTAACTGTTGCAAAGCCTTGATAGACTTCAAAGAGGGAGAACTGACCTGAGTCTTGAGGGGTGGAAAAGATTTAAATAGTTAAACAGCGTAAGAGAAAAGGACAAAAGATAACGGGAACAAAGGTGCTGAATTGGGAATATGGCCATTAAATATTTATTAAATACCTATTCTACGTCAGTCATTGTGTTACGCACTAGATATACACTGGAGAACAAAACAGATGAGTTCTCTGCTTTCATGGAATCTAGCAGGGAAGACATAACAATCATGCACACAGATATATAATCATAAATTGCAATAGGTGCTATGAAAGGAGGCAACAGAAGCCAGTAATGTGGAATAATGGGAAAGGACTAGCAAGACGCGATGATGAGGAAAAGTACCCCTGATATTTATACATAAGCTCAGGCATGAAGGCAGCCATGCAAAGAGCAGGGGAAAGAAGTGTTCAAGGAAGACAGAGCCATGCATACAAAGGCCCTTTAGAAAACAGCTCATTGAGTTTAAAAATAAGGCCAGTGGCTTACGCCTGTAATCTCAGCTACTCTGGAGGCCAAAGGACAGCTTGAGGCCAGGAGTTTGAGACCAGACTGAGCAATGGTGAGACTCCATCTCTAAAAATTAAATAAATAAGAATAAAAATAAGAAGTTAGCGTAACAGAAGCATAACAGGCAATGAGACTGGCATAAGATGGCAATTGTCTACCCGAAAAGTAGGCAGGAGCCAGGCTATACAGGACATCATAGGTCAAAATAAGCTGAAATGGCCACATGCGGTGGCTCACGCCTGTAATCCCAGCACTTTGGGAGGCCGAGGTGAGTGGATCAAGAGGTCAGGAGTTCATGGCCAGCCTGGCCAACGTCATATGGTGAAACCCCGTCTGTACTAAAAAGACAAAAATTGTCTTTTTAGTGTGGTGGCAGGAGCCTGTAATCCCAGCTACTTGGGAGGCTGACGCAGAGAACTGCTTGAACCCAGGAGGTAGAGGCTGCAGTGAGCCGAAATCACGCCACTGCACTGCACTCCAACCCGGGCGACAGAGCAAGACTGTCTCAAAAAAAAAAAAAAAAAAGAGCTGAAATTTGAATTTTATTCCAAATCTAAAAGAAAACCACTAAAAACTTTTGCACGCTCACGTTAGTTTTAAATAAAAGGAGCCAGACCACAAAGAATACATACAATATGATTCAATCTTTACAAAAGTACAAAAAAAGAGCAAAATAATCTATGCTGTCAGAAGTCAGGACGGTGATTACCCTGGGAGGTAGAGGGGAGACAGGAACTGAAAGGGAACTGGATAGGGGCTTCTAGGTACTGGTAACGCTGTTTCTTGATCTAGATCTAGTTGCTGCTTACATGGGTATATTCAGTTTGCAGGGAAAAAAAAACATCAAATTCCACTTTTACGTGCATTTTTCTGTATATGTTATTATATACTTCAATAACAAAGTTTCTAATAATGTAATATACTTTTTTTTTTTGAGACGGAGTCTCGCTCAGTCGCCCAGGCTGGAGTGCAATTATGGAGTACAGTGGCACGATCTCTGCTCACTGCAAGCTCCACCTGCCATGTTCACGCCATTCTCCTGCCTCAGCCTCCCGCTGAGACTACAGGCGCCTGCCACCATGCCTGGCTAATTTTTTGTATTTTTAGTAGAGACGGGGTTTCACCATGTTAGCCAGGATGGTCTCAATCTCCTGACCTCGTGATTCACCCGCCTCAGCCTCCCAAAGTGCTGGGATTACAGGCATGAGCCACTGCGCCCAGCCCATAATATACATTTTTAAAATATTATTTTGTCCAGATAAAAACAGGAATAGAGTGCTCACTTTCGCAACACAAATACTAAAATTGGAATGGTACTGGGAAGATTAGTATGTGCGCTACACAAGGATGACATGCTAATTCACAAAGCATTCCATATTTTTAATTTTTTTTGTAAAAATAAAGAAACAGGTACAAAGGGGCACATGCAAATACGGCAGGTCTTGAATGAAAGATTACCCTGGTAGAAGCTTTCAGAGGGGTAATTCAAATAGCCAGTGATACAAAGTACCATGTTTATAAAAAATAAGGCCAGGTGTGGTGGCTCACACCTATAATCCCAGCACTTTTGGAGGCCAAGGCAGGTAGATCACGAGGTCAGGAGTTCGAGATCAGCCTGGCCAACATGGTAAAACCCTGTCTCTACTAAAAATACAATAATCAGCTGGGTGTGGTGGTGGGCACCTGTAATCCCAGCTACTCGGGAGGTTGAGGCAGGAGAATCGTTTGAACCCAGGAGGCAGAAGTTGCAGTGAGCTGAGATCGCACCACTGCACTCCAGCCTGGGTGACAGGGTAAGACTGTCTCAAAAAAAAAAAAAAAAAAAAAAAGAATAAATGTTGGGGCCAGGTATCACTCATGCTTGTAATACCAACACTCTGGGAGGCCAAGGTGGGAGGATCGCTTGAGCCCAGGAGTTCAAGACCAGCCTGGAAACAAAGTGAAACCGTGTCCCTACCAAAAAAAAAAAAAAAGTTTCTTAATTAGCTGGGCATGGTGGTGCACACTTTTAGTCCCAGCTCATCAGGAAGCTGAGGAAGGAGAACTGCCTCAGCCCAGGAGTTCAAGGCTGCAGTGAGCTACGACTGCCGCTATACTCCAGATCGGGAGAAACAGTGAGAGTCTGTCTCTTAAAAAAAAAAAGAAAGAGAAAAAAAAAAAAAGAAATGCTGGGTCTGGGCAGGAAGTTGTGCAATACTAAAGGATTAACTATAAATTCCTTAGAACATAAGGAGGAATCTCCAGAAATTAAGAAAGTCATAGATGACAACAGCAATGCCTAAAAAGGTTAGCAATGCTTGTTATGTTGCGGCTCATATTTTAATATGGTATTTTCAAGCTCTTCCCTTGACCCTCCACTCCCATACAACAAAGAGTGTAATGACACAGATCCCAAACCTGAGCATCAATCACACCTGAGCTTGAATCAATGGTCTGCCCCTCACTTGCTCTGGCAGTTAACTGCTCTGAGCTCAATTCCCTCATTTATAAAATAAGGATAATAACCACCTCATAGAGTTATTATTTTCTCAAAGGTGAACAGAGTAGTACTTCTGCAGTACAAATACTAAAACTGGAACAATACAGAAAAGATTAGCACGTCCTCTGATCAAGGAGTGAACATTATTATAGTCACCCCTTTGAGCAGATCTAAAGGGTTATTTTAATTATCATTTCCTAACGGCATATGGAGGACCAATGGTGGATGTAACAAGAATTCCTTTGCTTCGGGCAGAGCAAAAAAAAGTTTCCATTCTCAGACAAATTCATGGGTGAGAGAGGGGTTTATAAAACAGTCACCATACAGAAACAGAATGAATAAAGATAAAATCAAAAAATAAAGAGAAGGTAGAAGTGGGGCTTCTTCTAGAAGCTCATTAGCAGAGGTTCCAGGCATTTTCTAAGACAGAGACAGAGACTTGAGCTAAAGCATGCTGAGAGAAGTTCAGTGACTTGAGAAATTATGCAAAGGAAGAAACAATCTTCCCCACAAGCCACAATTGCTACCTAATGTATTCTTCCCTTTGTGGAATATTACTTAAAACAAGTTAGACATCAACACTAAGGATATTCTGTCATAGGTGGAAGAGCAAGGCCTTCAACCACTTTACACCATCCCCACCCTTAAGTATTATTTGAACAACCATAATTTGTTAAGCACTTCTTAAGCACAGCCAAAGATGTTAAGTTTTATATTTCAGGAGCTACCATTTCAAAAGAAAAAAAATAAAAAGTTCAACTCCTTAAATCTTTTGGTAACTTTTTCCCAAAATGTATCCTCTGTCTTAAAAGTAACTAAAATCTACTTCCTCCTGAATTTATCTTTCCCCTAATCCAATAAATGTCTCTCCCTCTTATTCTTCCCATTTCCTCACCATTAAATACCTAAGGTTTTCCTATTTCCTCCCAAGTTGGCATATTAACACTCTAATATTCATTCTGACCTCACAGTATTGAATCTGAGCATAGAAACCTCAACATTTCCAGGGATAAATCTGCTACGCAATTCCTAAAAGACAACACACAGTTTAAAAAAATAAACGCAGTGGTGGTAATTATACAACTGTATACATTTGTCAAAGCTCATCAAATTGTACACTTAAAATTGGTGAATCTTATGGTATGTAAATTATACCTCAATAAAGCTTTAAAAAAAAAAATGCATTCAGGGCAGGGCATATTGGCTCATGCCTGTAATCCCAGCACTTTGGGAGGCTGACACTGGAGGATCCCCAGAACCCAGGAGTTCCAGGAGACCAGCCTGGGAAACACAGGGAAACCTCATCTCTATAAAAAAAAAAAAAAAAAAAAGTTAGCTAGGCATGGTGGCACGCACCTGTGGTCCCAGCTTCTCAGAAGGCTAAGGTGGGAAACTCACTGGAGCCCAGGCAGTTGAGGTTGCAGTGAGACATCATCACACCACTGCACTCCAAAAAAAAAGGAATACATTCATTACATTCATTCACTCATTCATCAAATATTTGCTGTGCATCTATTATATGCATCAAAGTTTATACCACATCTTTCAGCCTGGACTATCCGGGTCCTACCTGTAGTGTGCTTTACTCATAAGTTGATACTGTCCCTGAAAGCTGTATTACATGAAAAATGGTTCTGTTTCTGACAATGTTACCTTAATGATGGCCGCTTTACACTGGAAGGGCCATTAGCTATCCATCAACTTCCATTACATAAATGAAATATATGATCACTTAGGTACTCTCCATTTTAACAGAAATGCTTCCATCATAAGAAATAAGCAAGCACCTAGCGGCATATAGTACATACCACTACTACAGCCTTGTATGTCTGTCTTTTTACAAAAAAAAAAAAAAGCACACTTCAAGTGCATATTGACAACACTGCTGAAACAAAAGGCAATATTATTGGAGAACAGACCTAACTGACTTATTCTAGGGCCCACAGTCACCCAGTGGCTGAGTCAAAGGCCAAAAAACTAGGTCTCATGATTCCAAAGGCAGTGTGCACAGTGGAGAGACAACCACAGACCTGAGAAACAGACCTGGGTTTGAATTCCAGCGCCATTTCTTACTAGTTGTGTGTGTGAACTTGGGACAGTCACTTTACTTTCTGACCTTTGGCTTGTTCATCTATAAAACAGGGATGCTGACCCGGAGCAGTGGCTCATGCTTGTAATCCCAGCACTTTGGGCGGCCAAGGCGGGCAGATCACTTGAGGTCAGGAGTTCAAAACCAGCCTGGTCAACATGGTGAAACCTCATCTCCACTAAAAACACAAAAGTTAACCGGGCATGGTGGCACGCACCTGTATTCCCAGCTACTCGGGAGGCTGAGGCAGGAGAATAGCTTGAACGTGAGAGGCAGAGGTTGGAGTGAGCCGAGATCGCACCACTGCACTACAGCCTGGGTGACAGAGCACTCCGTCTCAAAAAAAAACCAAAAAACAAACAAACAAACAAAAAAAAAACAGTACTTTGGGAGGCCAAGACGGGTGGATCACGAGGTCAGGAGATCGAGACCATCCTGGCTAACACGGTGAAAGCCCATCTCTACTAAAAAAAAATACAAAAAACTAGCCGGGCGGGTTGGGGAGAGCCTATAGTCCCAGCTACTCGGGAGGCTGAGGCAGGAGAATAGTGTAAACTCGGGAAGCGGAGCTTGCAGTGAGCTGAGATCCGGCCACTACACTCCAGACTGGGCGACAGAGCGAGACTCCATCTCAAAACAAAACAAAAAAAGAGATGCTAACTACCACCTCACAAAATTATTGGGAAGACTGCCTAAGATCTATACCACCTAGCATAATTACCGGGCACAGAATAGGCAACTAAACAACATTAGTTCCTTTTCTTGGTCTTAAATTATTTAAGATTAAGAAAACACCTCATAATCAAGGAAGGCTAATTAACAATCCGTATTATTAATCACTGGCCAACAGAGAACCAGTGTTTGCTGCCTTCTTCATCCTCCAACCCATTCCCTTCCCAGCTCACTACTTCCAGTTTTTCAAACTTTAGTTACTATGTTTAGAAAAGTGATTTAATTTTAGAAACCTGGAAAATTCTTCTAGAAGTAAATTCTTCTAGGAGTAAATTGAGCAAAACCTTAATCTGCCCCCAGGGGAATTCTGAGCAAAACAATTATTTCTGACAAGAGAAGAATTTTCTATGGGGGTAATTCAATTTATCCACATGCATACTACCAAAGTTGCAAAGTGACAGAAGGCAATCTGGAACATACTGTCCAGATTCCCAAAAAAGAAATGTCCTCCTAAAAATCCAAACCCCTCCCTAATTTGAGGTAGTCAGATCTTACTAGGTGATTTGAATTCTCCCGGCTCTGACACCAGTACAGCTCCTTAGGCCAGAACAGCAGCCGTTTGTAAAAGAAATACCCTGACCAAACCCCACCCCTCAAAACATCCCCAAAAGGCAGGGAGGTCCAGAGAGTATCTTCTCCTCCAACGACACATAAGGCACCAGGGGCTCCGCAGCGCAATCCTTCCCCCAAGGTCATTCAAGTCAGTGAAGGTGCGACGGCGGAGCTGCAGGCACTCTCTGGCCTTCTGGAAATCACATTGCAGGGGTTTTGGGGGTGCCTACTCTCTTCCCCTCTCCCACCCGCAAGGGTGAGCACTGGCCTCGGCATTTCCGAAACAAGCCACAACAAGCTCTGCAGTGTTAGGAAAGGGGTTGACGCGATGAAGAAACAGATGCTCCAAAGCAAGATAGTCTTTCTCGGATCGCAGAGGCTCCTCCAAGGTTATGCACAAAAACCGCAGCCACCTCCAAGAGCTCTAAACGGGGCTCCGAAGCTCCAGCGCGGCCGCTCCGGGACGCCGGCTTCCCTGCAGGCAGGCTCCGCAGCCAGAGGCCACCGGCCCCAGAAACCGCACTTCATTC